CAAGTCGCTGGCTAATAAGGATTCGATCTCAACCGAACTTCAATGACTAAGCGTATAGCCTGCAGAGATTATGCTCAGATCGGGGACGCGTCCAGTGGGACTTGAGGGCCTTTGCTATCTCTTGGATAACGTTTCTCTTTCTGAAAAGGGCATAGTTTTCGAATGGATGATTATGCCCACATCATACCGAAATGATGCCTTTTAAAGCTGGCCTGCCCGTGCCCCAGACTTCTCCGCGCTGAACTGCATATTTTTGTCAAAGGGAAACGTTTGAAGTAGTCCAGGGAGAGGGGACTCAAGTTGATCCAAATGGGGCTTGCAATTCGTTCCGGCTTTGAATACTACTATTATTACCCGTCTCTAGCAGCGGCGGTGATATTCATCATCTGTTTCGTGCTAACCACGCTCTTGCACACGTTCCAGCTCATCCGGACGAAAACATGGTTCTTCATACCGTTTCTCATTGGGGGATACTGTAAGCAAGATGAACTGCACACAATGATACTGAGCCTTTCTAACGTGGTTCATTCACTGCAGTTGAGTTTGTAGGCTACTGCGCCCGTGCCGTCTCTTCCAACCAATCCCCCAATTGGACCCTGGGCCCTTTCCTGATCAACTCACTGCTACCTCTGGTTGCGCCTGCTCTCTTCGCGGCTAGTATATATATGGAATTGGGGAGGTTGATCGTTGTTCTCCATGCTCAGAACTACAGTCTCATTCGAGTGAAATGGTTGACCAAGATCTTCGTCACCGGTGACGTTCTATCATTTCTTCTTCAAGCTGGAGGTAGGGACAAATCCGCAGTTGCCGAGCAAATGCTACGAACACTTGCTAAATTCTCAATCTTCTACCCGCAGGAGCTGGTCTCATGGGTACTCACTCTCAAAGCGGTGCTCAAAACGGGTCGCATATCATTGTTGTCGGACTCGTCGTCCAGATTGTTTTCTTCGGTTTCTTCATCATCACCACCGCAATTTTCCACCGTCGCATGCTACAAAATCCGACGCCGTACTCCCTTGAGATAAACTGGAAGAAGCTTATCTGGGTGTTGTACTCAGCTAGTGTGCTCATCCTTGTGCGGTCGATTTACCGTCTCATCGAGTATATCGAAGGGTTCGGAGGATATTTGCTTTCTCATGAGGCGTACCTTTATGTATTCGACGCTTTGCTTATGTTCGCAGTCATGCTGATATTCCATGTCGTGCACCCGAGCGAGCTTAATGCTTGGTTGAAGTCGGGCGGGCTAGTTAGCAAAGGGTTTCGCTTCGAAAGGCTGAACGGGAACGCGATACCAATCAGTTGATACTATGTTTATTATACAATACTTTTCCTGTTTTTCGCAATTCACATAATTTTCTGTTCAAGGTGATCACGGTCTCATCCTAACTGGGCTTCGTGCAGTGACATGCTTGTGTTGGACCAGAACACTGCAGCAAGAGATGTGTCCATTCGGTGCCGCTGCATATAACGCATGCTGTCAAATCAAACAAACTCGGTTACATGCGTTCAACTAAGAGTCAGCTGATCAGAGCAACCTTCAAGCAATATATGTCAAATGCGACAACCACACCCCTCACTTCAACTTGTGTTACGCCATTCCTGTTTGAGACAATGAAACGACCTTTGGTTACAGCAGTAAGTATTATGCTTATATTTTCCAGCATTCTTTACTTCAATCTATGATTCTTTTGCTAATCAGTCGTGCATTCCGATTCAGAGCGTCGATTATATCGCGAATTTCGTCATCTGTAGTCTGTGGGTTGATTGTACACATACGAAGGCAGACAACCCCGCGAACACGTGTGGTGAGCACGACTGCGATGTTCTGGGCCACCATTCTCTTGGACACAAGGCCGTTGATATCATCAATGGCCTCTGTACTCACTCCATGCGGATTGAAACGGAAGTTGATAACAGCCATGTTACTAGGTGTGACGATTTCCCACTCACTGAGCTTACTCAGCTCAGTCTGAACGAGGTCGGAGAGTTCGAATCCACGCAGAACCATCCGGTCAATCATGTCCGTCCCGAGAATTTGCAGGGAGAACCAAAGCCTCATGTGACGAGCTGGTCGTGTCAATTCGATCCCGAAGTTGAAAGGATTTTCAACATAGCCGTCTTCGACATCACGTAAGAAGTGCGCGGTTGCGGCGAAACTCTCCCTTGGATGGGACTTGTCCTTGAAAAGGACAACACTACAGCCATAGGTTTGAAAGAGCCACTTGTGAGGATCCCAGGCGATGCTGTCAGCGCGGCCGATACCTTGCAGAAGGTTCCTGCGCGATTGGCAGAAAGCGACTGATCCTCCATACGCAGCGTCGACGTGCATCCACAGTCCATGCTCTGCGGCTATGTCTGCAATTGCGTCAAGAGGATCGATGCTTCCGGTACTGGTTGAGCCGCAGGTTGTGATTACCACATAAGGCTTTAATCCGTTTTCGATGTCCTGGGTGATCGCCCGGCGAAGACTCTCCGGATCCATCTGAAATTCGGCATTGCAGGGCACGGTCCTTATCTGGTGCTTTAAAAGACCCGTTATATGGAGCGTTTTTGCTATACAGAAGTGCGTCTCCTCTGTCACATATGCTGTTGCTTTTGTGCGCATGTCATCTTCCACAAGCTGGTCCCGTGCAACAGTCAATGCAGTAAGGCAAGCAAGGGAGGCACCAGACACAAACTGTCCCCCTGCTGATGGAGGCAGTCCGAACTTTTCGGCTACCCAGCGAATGATAGATTCTTCTACCGCGCAGATACCGGAACCCGACACTGAACTCCCTGCATAATTGTTGAAAGAGGTCGAAATGACATCTCCCAGCCATGATAGAGGAGAGGCTGTCGAGGGTACAAAGGCGTAGAATCTTGGGTGATTGACATTGAATCCATAGGAGAGAATATCTTCGAACTCTTTCACAACGTCTTCCAGTGACCTCCCTTGGTCAGGTGGAGAAGACTTCAACAATTTGACCAGCTGCTCTTTTGTTGGCCGCTTGACCAAGATTGCTTGATCAGATAGAAATTTGTCGCCGACAATGCCTGAAAGCCCTTGGAGTGCTTCTCTCACGATTCCGTCCATAGCGAAGATGGCGAGGGGCCACTAAAACTGTTTGTGGCAAGATCGAGGGATCAATGTAGCCCGGTTTCAGTATAATAACTGCGCTATGCGATTTTGGATGGTCTCCATCGTCAATACTCGCGGGGATCTGACATTTTTTTCTTGCTTTTATAGTGCACCATGATACCAGGGGCCCATCACCCTTGAGATACGCAGGAGAAGCTTATGCGAGCAGCCGCATCGGGAAAATCATGGGTGTCCACTGGCACATTCCACCCTTCCGCTAGAAAATTGCCTATTACTTGCAGGGTATTGTGCATTTTCTGTGCGGGCAAAAGCATAGTGTTAACCTCTGTCGCCTCTGGAAAACAAGGATCGTTGGTTAAGGTTCGGCGAGATGACCGACTATCAAGGTTCTTCTTGGTATAACTTGGTCATTGGGGTCGGGCTTCATCAGGCTATCGGGAGGCTTTCCGGCAATTGTGTGAATTATCAGGGATAAATAAGATCCCTGTATTTAGCAACACGCATGATATTTTTCTAACTGGGTTTTGACTTGCATAGCTTGGATGGTTGAAAATGATGATTGTGTAACACTTGGGCAACCACCCCTTGCAATAAAATATGTCACCAACCTTTCCGCAGGAAATGATGTTCACAAAAAGCCTACTGTTAGTGGTAGGTATCTACATCCCTGGCTTAATGTCAGCTTGAAAGAGTGACATGATTGTCTAGGTACCATAGAACCTAATAAAATCTAAATTGTACACGTCAGGTCAGGTGGTAAAGGTTGTGCCATGATATGGTGTGTAGCGGATGACGATCGTTGTTGGAAATTGCTTACCTCACAATCTGCTAGATTATGGTTCAAAATATTAAAGCGCTTTTCAATCAAGTAGCATCATTGGTCTAGTGGTAGAATTCATCGTTGCCATCGATGAGGCCCGTGTTCGATTCACGGATGATGCAATCTGATTTCGTTTTTTGTTTTCCTTTTTTGACCTTACTAGAGTATGGTTCGGACCCATTCTTTCTTTTACCCGCCCTCCTGTTGGACGTTATTGACGCCTAGCATACTAAGACGCTGGCCTGTGTAACATTCTACACCTCAACACAAGGGCCAGGGCACACAAGGGACTCGTTGACACTTTGTCATGCCATGCACAAGAATGGTGATCCGAAAACGCGATCGGCACGCTATCATACGTACCACAAGACTGGAAATCTTAGAGAGAACCGGTTGTCATTTCCGAGGAGTGATTGAAACGATGTCACTCGGTCGGATAGCTTGGCTGACATGAATGCTGGAATGATTGGTATCTTCAGCGACAAATGATACTTGCCCAAGGTCGCAGAATACATGAAGTGAGTATGTCATATTGATGATTCCATACTATTCAACTGCTCAGCATGACGCTAGCCAGGCGCATATATCTGTAAAATGGCCTCATCAAGAAATGGTGCGCCATGTGGTGATATAACTTGAGCATATGCGCATGACGAAAGTAGCACTCGGATTTGCGTCAAATCGAGAAAGCTGCTCATCATGATAGTATTAATATTACAGCTGCAACACTAACGAGGTATGGACACAGCAAATCTTGCTCTCGCCGATTGGTGATTCGAAAAGAAATACGAGGAAACTCCTGTTTATGTGAATAGCTACAGCAATGCAGCATATTTATCAGATTGAAGTGGGGTCTTTCCAGACTTCAACTTCTTTCATCAGATAAGATAGAAAGTAAGTTGTGTATTAAATGGATGAAAGATGGATTTTATTCCCGCCACATAGGTATTAGCTGATGTTGGGATGATGGCCGTTGACGTTCCTACCACCGTCCGACACTCTTTTACCCCCTCAAAACCCCCTCGCTTTCACACTACTTCTCTGCTATCATTGGCAAAGCTCCCTCCGGATACCTGACAGAATAATCAGGCCAGGGCTATGATGTCTAATAACAAGGAGAGCTCTCATGCCGCCGAGACTCCCGTTTCGGCTCATGATGCGCAAGGTCCTGGCGTAACACCAGGACTTGGAAGTCCAGGTGTCCAGCGAATCGAGGCTCTTTCATCTCACCTACATATCCTCGACCGTGTGTTTCTCTTCTGTGGAGATTTCCTCATTGCCTATGTCTACGGCCTCGATAGCCTATTGCGGGGCACTTATCAGGTTGGCTTCCACCAGCATGTTTATTGAACCATCAAAGCTCATGATCTCTAGCCATACGCTACGGCATCATATGGATCACATAGTGTGTTATCCAGTGTCGATATCCTCAGAGCGGTCATTGCCGCAGCAGCGCAGGTTTGTAGTCTTTGTTTCTCCAATTCAGCAACTAATCTGATTTATTACCCAGCCGACTGCAGCTAAGATCGCCGATGTTTTTGGGAGAGTGGAGTTAATTTTGGTCTCAATATTCTTCTATACCCTTGATACTGAGCGCAATTCATCCTGAGTCGGTGTGTTCTAACACTCAGTAGGCACCATTGTTGAGGCGTCTTCGAGTACGGTCGAGCAATTTGCTGCGGGCGCTGTGCTTTACCAGGTGAGTCGAGTCCCTCTTGGCTAATCAGATGAGATGCCACTACGTTTCGACTAACATTGTGATATACAATAGATTGGATACACGGCTATTATTCTGCTCGTTGAGGTTTTGGTTGCGGACGTCACGTCGCTTCGCTCTCGTCTGCTGTTTTCATATATTCCAACACTTCCGTTTTTGGTAAGATGACAGATTCGAAAGAAGATGAAATGCTTGATCTTAGCTGATGCTGGTAGATCAACACTTGGATTAGTGGAAACATAACTGGGGCTGTGCTGAAAGTGACCACATGGCGTTGGGGAATCGGCATGTTTGCGATAATCTATCCCAGTGAGTATATCCTCGCACGAGTCAGTCAATTGCTGACAGATTCTAGTCTGCACGCTCCCTCTTCTCATGGTTCTCTACATTGTGTACCACAGAGCCAAGAAGGATGGTACAGTGGATCATATCGCAGGCGCATTTCGCACGTTGGGTGTTCGGCGCCTGGCGATTGAGTTGTTTTGGCAACTGGACGTGATTGGTATTATCCTGATGATCGCTTTTCTTGCCATGATTTTGGTACCTCTCACGATAGCCGGCGGCCTGGATTCTCAGTGGAAGAAAGCAAGGATCATCGTTCCTCTCGTTCTGGGGCTGTGTTGTATTCCGGCATGGGTTATTTGGGAGAGAACCTGCAAGCATCCTATGGTCCCATTCAAGGTAGGCAGGCCGTATATGGTCTAGGAGTTTCTGAAACTAATGGGTCTACAGCTTCTAAAGGATAGAGCCGTCTGGGGTGCCTTGGGAATTGCTGTCATGTTGAACACCGGTAAGCAGGAGCATATACTTCCAGTACTCCGTCTAACGAGGTGCAGCATGGGCTCTTCAAAGCGAATATCTATACACCGTTCTCATTGTTAGCTTTGGTGAGAGTATTACAAGCGCAACGAGGATAAGGTCCCTTTATAGGTAAGCTGGTGGAGATCTGATCTGCATAGACGTCAAACTTATCCTTCACAGCTTTGCCAGTGTTCTCACTGGATCCATTCTAGGCCTTGTAGTCTACAAGGTCAGACGACTCAAGCCATTCATCGTTGGAGGTACATTGTTGTTCATGGTGGCATATGGTATTCTGATCTACTACCGCGGAGGGCCCGCATCGTCCAGTCATTCGGGGATAATTGGCGCCCAGATCCTTTTGGGGATTGGTAAGTCCAGATACACCAATTGGGAGTTTGAATAAACTGATGAGTATGTTTAGCTGGAGGATTGTTTCCTTACCCTGCGCAAGCCAGCATCCAAGCTGCCACCAAGCATGAGCGTGAGTTTCCTATATCTTCTCGGAGACTAATACTAACAATAGCAAGACTTGGCCGTCGTCACCGGATTATTTCTAGCCTGCTACAATATCGGCACCGCAATCGGAGGAAGCATTTCTGGAGCCGTCTGGACCCAGGTTCTCCCCGGAGAGCTAAACAGTAGACTCGGTAACGCCACAATGGCAACTCAAGCGTATAAGGATCCGTTCACATTCAGTGCTACTTACCCAATTGGGACCCCGGACCGTGATGCCGTGGTAGCTGCTTACAAGCATACGCAGAGGCTGTTGTGCATTACCGGCATTTGCTTGACCATGCCGCTGGTTGCATTTTCTCTCTGCACCCGCAACTTGGTTTTGACGAAAGAGCAAAGTTTTGCACATGCGGAAGAGGATACTGATGAAGCTTGATCGGCTATGACAACATACTAGTGTGGGGTGGTGTTGTAGTAGCTTGATTGCTTAGAAGCATAGTGCTTATTGATGATATCCTGTTGCCTCCATTGCTTATTGAACCATGAAATCAGAAACACACCATATTTTCATCACATGTGACCACAGAGTAATTGGATGAATCTGACACGTATCGTACGATTGTTGCGACTAGAACTGGCTTAACTCGTTGAATTACAGGTTCGCGACTCCGTTAGTCAGCCACCTTCCATGGAAACTTGGTCAACTGGTTGCTGTGATCTGTGAAAAACAACCACCACATACGCGCTTATCTGGGCTTGTTCCATAATAATCTGGGAGAATGTATCTCATATGGGTGATGTCAATGTTAAGTATTACATTCCAAAGGATTGTGAAGATAACTCTACCTCAAGTAACATGAGATCAGAAAGAGATGTTCTCATCGCATTACCTCTCATGGCGCGTTGAGCCAGATTGATGGTTTGCTACTCTGTCCTTCAATCCTACTTGACTTCTACTTCAGATTTGCTTCAGATCAAATATTGGATATTCGCTGATCATGTCTTCTGATTTCGATGCTATTTGGGAGGACCTTCTGGCGGATTTGAAGACACTACCTGCTATCTCGTTTGATGGATTTGCCCGCCGAATTCATTTCCGAGCTCGCTGGAATAGTGACTTCAACAGTCTGAGGAAGTACATTGGCACTGACCAACCATACCCTGCTGGCGATGAAAGTCACAATCAGGAGCTTGATGGCATGGACACAGGAAGTGAATTCAGCAGGCTGGGAAATTGGTTTCTTACTGCCGAGTTCATGAGCATTGATGACGATGGCTATTGGCAGGAATATCTAGCAATGCAACTTTTCCCGGTCAGTCCGTTCATTATTGCTGTGAAATGCTACCACAATAGCTAACACAGAGCCCATTGATCTCAGTTCATTATCTATCCCATCTTTACCCCAGAAGTACTCCGCGGTCTCATGTCGATGTGTCTTGCCGAGCATCTCAATAGTAAATTCAAAAGCAATGGTCATCCTAGCCTCATGGAGCTAGCAAACACTACCGGCTTCGCGGACTACTTCATCAACAGAATACAGACCAAATCTTTCATCATTAACCTTGCCTTGACTGATCCCACAAGGTCAGATCATTTGTTTAGCATTTCAACCCTTCTGGTCGCGGACTATCTGTATTACAAAACGGCTTGGCTTGACATCTTTAAACTGCTCTCGAAAGAGAGACCAAGCTTTAAAGCACTCCATGCCTGGTCTCTTGTGACATGGAATGAGCAGGAACGGGGAGATGGAGTGAAGACAGATAACATTGTGAAGAACTGTGGTATAGCCGCGACAATGGCATATTGTTCTGTGCTAGGCTCGCTGTCGACTTTCGATGCACTGAACTTCTTCTACAAGGCAGTAATAGCTGCGATTGATACAGATTCATTTCCAGAACTTCGCCCGTACCTCGACAGCATCCAAGCAAGTCTGAAGAGGTTGATTGACGAAGCCGCCATCATCAACGAATTCGTAAGCTACTCCGAGAAGCTTTACACGACCTTCTACCACAACATGTCCGAGAATTGGCGTGATGGAGTACGCAACGCGTGGAGAGAACGTAATACTGGCGCTTTAACAGACTGGGTCAACAAGGGTTAGGCTCGCCCATCCCGTCCTACTTTTATGTGGACATTATGGATTGAGGTCAGTGCTAACTTTAATGATATAGCTACAGACTCGAATTCTAGGAATCTATCTCCGCTTATACCGGTGGAATTACAATCTAGTCTCTTATCTGGAACGAACCTGAATCTTTCTCAAAGTGAATCAAAGCAGATAGAGGCCGTTGCTAACAACAACCGATTCCTTGTGTCCACGAAGCCGCCGCGATATAGCCACGAGGGGTATGGCACCGTGGCGTCGAAGTCTCTGAAAGTGTGCTCGGTCGGCTTCAGTAAGCTCCACATATATGGACAATTACGGAAGTATAAGTCAACTGATGGATTGACAGACGGTGAAAAGCCCTTTACAACACCATCGCAGGTGTTCTACACTACTACTGGACTTCGAGCGGTAGACCCAGGTTCCGCCAAAGCGAGTTGTCCACATGCCCATATTGGACCGCTGAGAAGGGGACACGTTATTTATCGCCTGGCTGGCAACCCCGATGACTATAAGTACGAGGCAGTGGAAATAAGTTCCATAGAAGTGGGCCCAGAAACAGAGCAGAACGTATACAGCGTGTCACTGTGGGCAGGCGAGCAATCGCATCACGCGAACGGTTACCTTCTTGCCATCAATGATCCCAACGTAAGTTCAACCGGATTTTGTTACCATCTTTGATTCGTCCTTATAATTGATTCATTAGAGAGCTGTGGAAGCCGCGGCCCGTGCCCTTCGTGCCTTTCCACCGAAGAAGCGGATTTCACTTCTGGTATCATTTCACGAGCTCAGTTCCACGTTTACGAAGAACGACATTCAAGCTATCCATGAGCGACTGAACTTCGAACTCTTTGGAAGTTATGGGAAAAGAGAGGAAGGTCTAATTTCACGGTCCGAAATCTTCCCGGCCCTGGTCTCTCCAAGTGACCAGCTAAAAGCGATGAAATACAACCCTCGACAACTACCCAATGGTGTGCCTCTGGACATGATACAAAGGAGATTTTCACTGTTAGCAATAGGCGACTCCAACTTGCCTTCGGCTTACACGCTGCCCGACTTGAGCGTCATAGATGACTGTATTCTTATAAATGACGTGCCTCAGATGAGATGCAAGGTGAACCACCATAGGAGAACGTTTCAATGGACACGCAGAGTTCAAGAAAATATGTTTGAACATGGGGTTCTATCACTTTACTCTCACGGGCTGTCGGGTAAGGGTGTGGTACTCATTTCTCCCACAGATGCACCAGAAGATTGCTCAAAGAAGGATGTCCAAGCATTTGAGGCATTGCCCAAAAGTGTAGCAAAAAACATCCAGCTGCTTCACGCCAAGCGGCAAGCGGGCGAACCTGAAAGCGACGATGAAGGGGAATACATACCTGTTATCACAGTTTCAATGCAATACGACAAGAACACATGGGCCCCGGATGAACCAATAGATGAACCGAAGGATCCTATGTCCGGTATGGACGTGCAATGGGGTTTTCTGTACCCACCTGATGGATCCCAGACCACAGAAACGAGAGTACCCATTCTTGACGAGCTCAGAGATCGACTCAACGAAAAATACAATCGAGAGTTTGAGAGGCTTTATGATAGCTGGGAGGTAATACTGGATGATGGCAGGACCAGAGCAACCGTGGAATTTAACCTTGCAAGCGTCGTGCCTTTTATCTCCGATGCTGGAATGGACGTCAACACTCTGAATGTGAATTTCAAGTCCCAGTTGGGGATCGATATCACTCTTCCGATTCTTTTCCAGTCATTTTATATTGACTATGATGTGGACCTGCGCACGGTCAAGGGGGCCATATTTGACTACAATCCTCTGATGCGTGACACAAAAGGAGATAGGTAGGTAGTTAAATGCGCCATATGTTTTGCTTCATGTGCTAACATATACAGGCATTACATCTGTGGGACTTCCGACATTGATGATTCCGAGATCTATGATATGCGGTTGAAGACATCTAGAGCGTTTGCAGATTGTGCGAACTTGACTGCGCCGACATCGTTCACGTCGGCCTTACACCCAGCAGAAGTGACCGAACAGTTGCATCTGCTGCAAGAGCCTACTGTCGACGAACTTCTCAACCCGTATGGCTATGATGAGGTTGCAGTAAGTTAAATATGACCAATAGGACGAACGGGTTTCCATAGCTGACCAAGTATCGCGGCACGGATCCATAACATGACCCAAGTACTCATCAAATCGATGATGTTCTACCACATGGATGACAATCAGCGCGAAGATGTGACCGGCCAGGCCAAGCCCACAAACTTAGATTCGAGTTTGGCGGAAAATCTCCCGTCAGACCTGCAGAAATTCTTTCGAGAGAAGTACGCCCCGGCGTTTCTATGTCAGTCGGTGATGCGCTATGAAAAGTATGAGGATAAGTTCACGGAGCAGGAGAAGAAGAACATGCGGTATTGGTGGGACGGAAATGTGAGTATTATGCGACATAACAAATCTCTGATGAATGAGAGAATTCTAATGCGCTTTCATTGTCTCTTGTAGGGTGACAAGTGTCTTGCAAAGTCCAAGGAATATGCAGAAATCAACCGCCGGGCTTCTGTTGAAGCCGTTCGACAATTTAATAAAGACATACTCGATAAATATCTCGACGATAACCCGACGGAGTGGGCCTGCACTCTTTACGCCGCTCTGAAGGATAAGGGGCGAATGTTGACGTATCTAGCACATCCTATCCAGGGCGTAAGTAAAAGCGTTGCGCTTATACTATGGCTTTCTATTGATGCGATGTTTCAATCAGAGCGTAAATGTGATCAACCGCGAGTGCTGTATCCTTGACGCATTGGCACCATCGGAGGGAATAGCTGATCAGTGGTTCGAATACTTCGTTGGCTTCGCCAGTGAGCGCCATATTCACTATCCATACATTGATCCAGACGAGGACCTGGCTGGTCAATGGTTACATGATTCGATGAAGGATCTCATTCAACGTGTCCTTGAGGGAGATCCTTCCGTCGATGAGGATGTGCGCAAGGGGTTGGAAAAAGACATAGAAGAGTTTGAAAAGGCGAATGGACTTGATCAAACTGCAACCGCTGAGGCCAGGGCCAGCAATATCGTGGAGAAGGGGGCGGTGTTCTTTGCAGAAGCGAAGAAGTGGCTGACCGCGGTAGGCAAAGGCCTTGCGGTTGCTTTGCAAGGAACGAGGTTGTTTCAATTGGCGGAAGCTAGCTTTGAGCAGGTGACAAAAGCTATCGGTGACAGCTTGCCAGGGCTTAAGAAGCTGAAGCCAATTGCTACTATAGGAATGGTATGTCATTGTGACTCTTCGCGATCGGACCGGACCGGTAGAGCTAATCGAAGTCCACTAGGTCGCGTTTTACGTTTTCCAACTTGCGTCGAGTCTCTATGGGCTGATCACAGATTGGGACACCATGGAAGACGCTAAGAAAGCTGTGGTCATATTGGAGATGATACAGACCGTTGTGAATGGCATCGGTCAGGCTCGTGATGCCTGGAATAATTACAAAAACAGAGATACTGCCACAACTCCAGAGGACGCCTTAGATACCGCCACTCTAAACCAGGGGGTGGAGAAGTCAGTTTCTGAAAGTGGAGGCGGGCTCGCTGAGATGTCCGACGAGATTAATGGCGAAGGCACATTCAACGAGATTGTTAGCGACCACTTGCTCCCAGAGGGCCCAGCTACCGAAGGCGACAATGCAGGACGTTGGAACGAAGGCGCCGATAAACCGCCAGAGAATATTCCAGCCGGTGGGGAGGATGTGGTGTCTAAGTGGAATGTATCTGGAAATGCTGTCAAGATCATTAATGCTTTCTTGGGTATTGGGCTAGTTATCGCAATGACCTTCAGGTCGGTTCAGTCATTCCACTCCGCAGGTTACCTTCCCGGTATCCACTAACAAGAAGCAGTTTGGTCCAGGACTGGGATAAATTGACAACGGGAGGAAAGATCATCAACACGATCGCGCTGCTTTCGCAAACACTCACCGTGGTTTTGGATATTGTGGAGGTGGGCTCATCCATTGGACTCTATACAGTCACAGGGGTATTTGCCACAGCTTTGCCCATACTCGGGGCTGTGCTCGCGGTTCTTGGCGTTGTGATGATGCTGATCAACCTGTTTGTGAACTTGTTCGGTGGCTCCCCACCTCCCGACCCGGTGCATGAATTCATCGACCATGTAGCCAAATGCCTAGTTGGGGGATTTGAAAAGGCGCCTCCGCCGAAACTTGACTATACCATCTCCAGCGTCACCTATGAATCCGGCAAAGTGACCGGCATCACCATTAAGGGCGAAAACACCACAGCCGATGAAATCAGCATCCCGAATGCACGCATTATCGTGACCAGCGGCAGCGACGACGTCTGTCTGTTCTCTACGAGTGAATTTGAGCTGGTGGAGGACTCAGACCCCGACAAAGACTCGGATGGACATCTCTATGTGACTCCGAACAGTAAAGCCGAGGGCACCTTATCCAGTAGCGTCCTCGGTGATGAGACGGAATACCATGAATATGATCTAGTAGTCGGAGGAAACAAGAAGGATACGGAGAACAGTTTGCACAAGCTGATCCTGCAAGCGAAGGAGAGCTTCACAGCAGTCTGGACGGGAAAGATCAACAAAAGCGGTCGGAGTCTGGTCGAGATCATTGAGAAATCGGATCTTGACAAATGCCATGTTCAGTACACGGTGTTGAGAATCTGAAAGTCCGAACCTGCTGCTATGATTTGCTTTGTTCCAGCCCACAGAATGGACTTTGGGTATCGATTGATTATGGCGTGCTTCTTAGCCAACAGAATGAATCAACACGGATATTCCGAATGGCTTTGATACCGACCGGCACGGGTTTATCCAAGCGACGGTATTCGTCGGCGTCTTTGAAACTGATAATCAAAAATCCCTCAGTAATTATTGGATGCGATGTTTTCGAAGATATTGCCTCCCGGTAGTAACACACAGTCCTCTAGTGTGTGGAAGTGATGCGACCGTGAGGGAGGAGATGAAATCGAACCATCTAGAGCTGTTTAGTTAGTTCGGTTGGGCAGTCAGTAGATAACTAGACTAGTAGTAGTCAGTCAGGTGTCGCCGGTCGGTCGGTCGGGTCAGTCGGGCGGGCCAGCCAGCCAGCTAGACTAACTAGATTGCCAGTGTCGGAAACTTGGTAGTGAGTGAGTGAGTATCTGACTAGCGTCCGGTGGGACGAGGCGAGAGCGATCGAAGGAAGAAGAAGAAGAAAAATCAGGGCGAGAGCGTGATCAACAGGGGTGAGGCAGCTGCTAAGCATTCATCACATCAACACCACTACTACCCACCACCACCCACACACGTCGCCTGATCAGGGCGGCGCGTAGATAGTAGAACAAGTGAGCAACATCATTTCATACGACAACTAACAATTTTGGAAGATCAGTAGTAGTCGTCATCAATTGATCTATAACCATCCCACATGAGATGATCACCCCTTAAATCAAGTTCAAGTGAAAGAAAACGGTCGCATACCATGCCATTGATTGATGACGAGCGACTGGTTACACAGGAATGCCCAGGACATGAGGAATTGAGGGGTGTAGCAACCTGTTGCAACTTGCAAGTTTGAACTTTGCACGAAATTCAAACTAAGAAGAGGTCCGGGCGCGGCGGAAATATCCCCGTGACAGGGAAACATTTTTCTTTTTAGCTTGGCGTGGTGGTGGTTGGTGCCGGTGCCGATTTGCCGCGGACTTTGAGTTTCATGTAGGAAGTATAGAAGGTCGTCGATTGTATGGTTCCATCTAATCAGCGGGTGATTCATGGATTAGGTATTCTTATTATTATTATCATTATTATTGATGATGATTTTACGTTCCGTTCCGTTATCCGGATTATCGTCGACCAACCAACCAACAATTGCAGGTCTACCACTCTTCAAGGTTCCCTTCATGCTTGGTTCTTGTGGTCCCGTCCTGGACCATACTTTTTTAATTGATCGGCAAAAAAGCAAGAGAAGGGGACTAAACTAAGCATTGCTCGCTACCAGTAAATCAAGTACGTACCGTAGTGTAGTTTACTTGTGATAACTCATATAGGGCTAGTATACATATTTTGATTTTTTTTTATCGTGGTCTATAAGGGATGTATGTTACCTTGGCGGATATCATCTTCTTCATGATGACGAGGCCTATGATGAAAGGAATATGGAATATGGAATGAGGAGCCTTCTTGACCGATTTTGTGTGAATATACGTACGTGTACTTTGGTGGTGTGGAATGACGATCGCATTTGCAAATTGCAATATTGTTTAAGGCGGTGTAATGTGTATGATGGGTGGGATAGTCATATGGTAGGAAGGAAGTAGTTACGGTGTGTGTGTATGTGTGTGTGTCACATCTAGATCTCAAGCCAGAAAAAGAATCGGAGAATTAAACATTAGAGTTTCAGCACCGGAAAGTTCTGTCCCCCTTCAGCTGCCATGGTACAACACAGACACAGCTAGACGGGAAGCGAGAATTAATGGATGGATGGGGGTAGTTAGTTAGTGAACCCGATTGCCGCCACACCTTTTTTTTTCCCCTTCCCGGTCGGGATCCCGTGTTGCAAGTTGCAAGTTGCAACAGCACACAACTCGCATTCCTCAAGGGGAATTGACTGGATTGGGGGGTTTGATTGGGGGTTGGAAGGTAGAGTTACGTACAACTTTTGGTACGTAGTAGATTGTCTGGTAATCGAGACTGTTCTATGAAAAATAATGATGATAATTTGCAATGGCGAAAATCTATCAACCCAACGCGCGCCGATTTAACCGAGTAGATACTACTATCATGAAGATATTGGTGGTGGTGGTGGTGGTGGTGGTTGGGTGTGAGTAACTAAGTCAAAGTGTTGGGTAAAGGAAAAGAAAAGTTTTTCCTTCTAGACTTGAAGCAGACCTTGTCTTCTATGCGTGATTTGATAAGGGTGGCGTTGCTTGTTAGGTTAGCTATAGTAGTAGCTTTCCCGTTTTTCGCCATGACTAAACCAAAAGCAGAGCAAGCTAGCCACGTTCTAGTCCTTGCAATCGCCCGTTCGGATCCAAAGTGCCGTTCGGACG